GATCATCAGGGTTGAAATTAAAGTGTCAAATGTTCTTAAAGTGAAACACAACAGTAGTCTCTGAGAAAATGGCATCACAAGTCAGTATCTTGTGTATCCGCCATGTGTATTGATGACTGCCGTGCAACGTCGATACATGGAATGGATGAGGCGATTGATGAACGCCATAGGCACTTGAGCCCACACTCTGAGGAACGCATGACGCAGTTCAGCTGCAGTTGTCGGCTTTGGTCGGACGTCATTTAGCCGTCTTTGAATCTTGTGTCAGAGGTTTTAATCGGATTTAATGGGATTTAAATCGGGACTGAGGGCAGGCCATTGCATGGTTCTGATGCCATTCTGCTGCGGAAACTCGTGGTTGCGGCGACGTGCCAAATGAGGTATGGCGCGTGATCTCATGACATGATCAATGTACCGAGCTGCTGTGACACCATTGCCTGTTCCTGGACCGATGTTTTGGAAGACCACAGGGCCGCCCCTCTGTGCAAGACCAATTCCACCCCACATCATGATGCTCGGACCAACCCACGAGTCTCTCTCAACAACACAAGCATCCGAATAACGTTCCATACGGCGTACCAGACTCTCTCTCTAGTATTCCAAAATTCCAAAATTAGAAGTTAGAATCATTGGCATAACATATCATCCATGCAAGGCTGCCTTTGATACTTTAGTGTATTTCGACATGGGTCACACACATTTTGACTACTCATTAAGCTGTGGACTTCATGGAGGCATTTACTCATGGTTTTGCTTTTTTGAGGCAATATGACGACGACGGGGGGCACCAAAATTGGGCCTCACACATTGTACGCATGTAGGGAATCGAACCCGAGTCTTCTGCGTGACGAGTGTACACTTTCATCACTAGGCTACCTCACCGCCCGCAATCATTCAGGAACAGGGGGCATCGGAAGAGGGAAAGACGTTGCTAGAGCAATACAGACATGTTTAAACAAAGATGGTCTTCCTGTACTACAAGCTTGTACAGGGAATTATACCCACATGGCCTCAACTATTTCTTCTTGTCTCGCTTTGATTTATTTAGAATAGGTATCTTAAAGTTGAATGTAAATGAAGGAAGATTCATGACCATTAAAAGGTCACCACATGTAAGAGTACATGTATATCCTGTCTATTTCTAAACGAATCACGGTCTCTGGGGGACATTTCCAAAATTGTCGCATCTGTGAGCAAAATACATGTACGTCCGATAGCAATTCCCTATTTTGATTTGTACTTTATAATTGTGTCCTTGTGTTTGTTCAGGCGAACACTTGCCTTGCCTTTTCAATTGTTTGTGACGGGTACAACCGGCGGGGCAGGATAACCTCACCTTTTCGCGAACACCTGATATCATCACTAATTGATAGTGATTTATACGCATATGACATAAATGGAATCCCATAAGGGACTCTGTTTGAAGCAGATATTTCTTATGATCATGGAAATGCTTTATGTCTATTATTTCTGTGTGCATATTATATTGATTTAAGAACGAATAATACCTCGATACCGATATTCGATTGTAAACTGCGTGTTTGTAATTATCTTAAGTTGACAAATGAGTGGATGCCTTCGTGCAAGAAATATATCGACTTGACTTTGGCCCAGCGGTGTTTCAAAGATATTGGCGTGTTCCGCATATGTAGTTACTTGACACATTTACGTAAATATCTATTTTTGTAAAACTATTTACAAGAAATATAATGTATTGCATGATATAATGAACACCTGATGCAGGTTGCTGCGTGCTTTTAAAACACATCTGCTATTTGACCTAGGCACAAGTATGCCTTAATGCTTGATTCGCACGAGAATACCACATACGGCATTGGGCACAATACAAGACACACTGCAAATCGACATATAGATACTTACAACTGAAATAGACATAGATTAATTTCGATCTATTGCACATCTGGCGGTGAATGTACATTGTGTCTAGACTACGTGGAGGACGGTGACAGCCAGGTGATATTTATCACATATTATTCACAGTTAATTCCAACTTGATTACTGTTGGATCCTATTACATGGATTATTCTTTCACAAAGATACCACATCAGCAAAGTGTGACGTGTTCATTTAATAAAGGCATTCATCCAGAACACCCATCTCATTGTCTGGTAAATTTCCAATGATGGTGGTAGTGTTGCAAGCTTCATTATGGCAATGACTGAAGGAGACGGTTCGTGGCAGATTTAGTTTATAAAGTCATTCGCTCTGAAAGAAGAACATCGGTGATGAGATAGTTCTTGAAGGTTCCTTTCTATTTACAAGGAGCAAGGAGCATTAATCGTAGGACTGAAACCTACAACCAAGTAGCGACAACCAGTCCTACCATCTTGGTAGATCTAACTAAGTCAATTTCAACATTCAGCTGTCAGTTTCAAAGGGAAGTTGAATGAGTGATTGATCGTGCACTCAGAAACCAAGGAAAAAACGTTTTAATTGTTTACTCATTTTCAACGAATGAGTGGTTCAAGTGTAACATGAATTCACTACTACGGTACACATGGTAATGCCCTGTCAGCGAGTGAATGAGTTGGGTTCAACACTGTTGAAGAGTATTTCAGTTGTGCCAGCTTAATGTGGGAGGAAAGTCAAATGAGGCGCGTGTTTGTTTATTGCTTTGCGCCGCACACAGTAATATTCCAGCTGTATGACGTCGGTTTGTAAATCTTTGAGCTTGGACCACACAATCCAGTGATAGATATTGAGACCAACATTCTACACCGTCGGGGTATAATGACGCCCAATCAACCAAGTCACCGAGCCTGACCACACGATCCACCCGATCCAATACGACCAACTTAGGTTGCCCTGTTATAATGGGGGATTTACTAATTCTTCTCGAGCATTGAAAATTATTCTGACAAACCAAGATATATAATAGGTACGAATCTGGGATTATAATTCCCGAACAAGGGATTCTTACATATATAAAAGACGCAACTGTTCACAAACCATTTGTGGACATTGTACCATGAACACTTGTTCAAATCATATATGTTACTGTACATAATGAAAAGGGTGGACTGAGGTTATTAAGTTTTGTTACATTTAACAATAGCGTATACCATTACGACTTTTCTCTGACATTTCATTGAACTATGAACAAGCGTTCCATTCACAATCGTTACTGTACAATATGGAAATGGTGGACTGATGTTATTACGAAAGTAGCGTTGTTGTCCACTTTTTGTCCTAAAGCCCAAAAGAAGATTCAGTTCACGTCCCTATTCGACTAAAGCATGACCGAGCCTTGACATCCCCCTTCCCTTAAGTGATAAAATCCCCGTGGCACTCATTGCTTTATCCAACTGTCTCGTATTTCGGTCTTATTTTGCATTCTATTATTTTCTTCATCTGCAGTCTAACTTGACCCGCGATTTGGCTTTTATACAGCAAACCGAAATGGATTATTGTCTGTGCCAAATAACTGTCAACGTATTTCTACTTCTCAAAGGATTTGACAACACAATATAGGAAACCTCACACTGGTGTTCATTTCATGTATAGTCGATACTCCTAAAGGAAAAACGAACTGCTCTTTGACATACCTATAGAAAATAATATGCAGTTCTTGGTTGATGCTGAATTTCCAGATCTTAAATCCTCTTTTGGCAAACCAGAAAGACGATTAACTTAATTCTGAGAAAAGTGTCAGACCGCGTACGATCATTGTACGTAGACATAGAGCATTGCAGTTCATTACACATGCGAGAGGATCAATAGTAAATCTGATCAGTCGTGGCGCACAACTCGCACAGAGTTTAAAGAACTGCTTCAGGAGGGTATTATGCTGCTGTAGGGACACTCCTCAAGGTACAGTTACGAATATCAATTAGTTCATCAACGTACTCCAGGCTGCGCCTCGTCTGAAGGTAGTGGGTGGTTTCTTAATCAGGACACACTTCCCCTAATGCTAACCATTTACATCTGAACGCCCATAACAGTAAACTATAATGACCACACGTTGGGCACTTGGCCAAGTACTTCACTACAAATCAAAGGAGAAAAAGACACGTGTTTGATCCACGTCCGTGTTTTATTGATATCCTAAGGGATGCATGACAGAATCTTGAGATAGCCAAACAGGGGGAGTTTTATAGAAACCCCGGTCAAAAGTCAGAGTTATCTTTAGGAGTGTTGTACTTACCCTTCCATGAGTGTCTTCAAATACCACGATGTTTTTTGTAATTTGTGAACAATCTGATTCATCATGGCTACGATCCATAACTCTCTATCAGTTCTATCAATGATATGAAGACATTGTGAAAACTTTCCTTGTGTGTTAAACCCTTTGCCTATCATGGTAACCAACAAGAGGCCTGTTCACAACGTGACGACGAGTCCAACCGACTATCCGAATTGTTACTATAACGCGACCCATGGAGGAAGGCAGACAAATACGTTTACTATTCCATGGGATCAATGTTCGTTATGGGATCAAACTCTACATGCTTTCATACAACAAAACGTATTTTATGTAATGCTGCATCAATTCGTTCCATAATTAGGTTCATCACTTCTAACTGTGACAGAGACGAAAAAATGATGTGAAATTATTATAAATGTATGTTTACATTATTTATCTAAGTATGTTTGAAGTTGACATACTACACGTACTTTTCTTGATACACATAAGTCTGAAACCATCACACTGCAATATTATAAAAAGTACACATAAACATAATTTTATAATTAACATATATATATGCCACAGATTTCTGTCCATCAACTGCTGGTTATAAGTACAATTGCGTGTGCCTTATAAACACACCTGATTATCATAGGTATGTAATTGGGCATTAAAACTGTCAATGCCTCTACAAATCATACTCGTCCCCCTTTTACAAGAAAACAGAGATGAATATTAATTACAATTGGCAGTTTAATAAACTCGGCAACAGCTCCTGAAAATAAACAATAAATGTACATAGATTAATTTGGATCTATTGCACATGTGGGGTAGAAAGAACATAGCTACTTACCTGCCCAGAGACATACGGTCATGAAGAGGGTAGCGGACGCTTGAGAAACAGAATCTAACATTGTAATCCAAAGACGGCACTTTTATAAACAGAAATGAAATCATCCAGAAAATCAGGTTGGCTGTTTAAAACACATCACTGGCAAGCCTTCATTACATTTTCCTCGATTTCCTGAATGCATAGACAGTAGTGAATTAGTTGCAAGGCAAGGGTGAGGAGTGTTGATTCACTGCCTAGTCGTCCCCTGCGGTACAATGATCCGTGATGATAATGGCAGAACGGTGTAACACACAAACTCAAAGATCACTGGGGGTTTGGTATGGCCACAGACACACGTAATGAAGATCAGCTCCTTTGACATCTGTACAAGTACACAGGGGTAGACTAGCACAAACTAAGTAGAGCACTGGCTATAAAATCTTTTAGGTACGATATTAAATACCAGTTTGAAGATTTCCGATAATGGATAATGCTTGCTTAACGGATGTCCATTTTAAATTATCGATACGATAGGTGATTATTCCTCCTGCTGCTTTACACTTGATTCACATTTGGCTGCAACGAAGCTGTCCACTGCCTCGCATCTACCATTTAGTTGTATGCAATTACCCCCTGCCGGTAATGTGGCACATGATAGAAGGGACAATATACATCCATTTACATATAATTGACGACTGTTGATGAGGCATATGTAGAATAGCTGGTACTCGGAATGGTTTTCCGGAGTGGTCAAGCGGTCACCTTAGAGTCCTCATATATCACTGTTGTGACAAGTCTTTTTTCTTAGGTACCAAACAGCTTCTATGACATATGAAGATCATCATGGAGTGATTAAACCACCATCGATAATACAAACTGTACTAGCGTATATAAAACCGGCCTCCTGAATCCTTATACCACTTTTAAATGTATGTGTTGGTAATATATATACTTCTTTTATTGAGATAGAACGTGTACAGTATCCTCACACATCCTTTCGCAAGTGTCCCTTAGGAGGGAAATCCTATTAGGAAAACGTGAAAATCCATCTTCGTGCCAAATCCATTTCCTTTAACAAGACCTGCTTGTTTTTATAGCAAATAAGAAAAGAGGAAAAGCAAAACTGCAAACAAATATCACACACGCCACGAGATCCAGTCGTAAACGACAAAGTCCTGCAATACACTATCCTGTAAACTTGGCAACAATCGACTGATGTAATTTAGGGGACTGTTGTCAATTGATGTGTGGTATTCTGCAGTATATCAACGTGCTTAGCGGATGGTGTTTTTATTGCAAGAAAACTATAAATACCCGAATGGGTTTCCGCAATATAGAATACTAAGCATTGCATCCAGCATTTTATGTTCACATTTGTTGTACCGTAAATGAAACACGAATAATCACAAAATGCCTGTTGTCAGAGATCAGGGTTCCGATCACATTTAGTATGCAGAAACTCTACACAAAAGCTATGTGAAATACATTAATCTGTGGCTTATAGTTCAAGCTGACATGCCTTCTCAGTGAGGAAGATTTATATCTAATTAAAATCCAGTTCATTTAATATCAGTTGTGATGATAGTATTTTAGCATTTATATGACCTTTATGTAATTCAGCTTCGAGACACCAAATGTTTTCAGTAATAACCAAACCCAAGCATGAACGTTTAATTAAATTCAAAACAACCACAATGGGCAGACAAGTAGTCCTCTGATACGATAAATCACAATTGCGCTGGTAAACTGAGAGCAAAGATTTTGATCGTGTCAGTAACTCATTGACTCCTGCCCCAGCTCACAAATTTATAGGACCCTGCACTTCACCAGCAAATGTCGATCGACAAATTCACCCGTTCTATTGGTTCGTAATATCCTGCTACCAGGATTCAAAGAACTGGCGCATGTATACAACTGCAGTGACAAACCCGTCTCGATTGTAGATTATTGATCTACTCACAACATACTAAGGCGTCCATGCTTTCCATGAAAAGCTTCCACGGGGGATGTGTGTAAAATAGCGTTCCGCTCTGGACGTTTGCGCCTGTAAATGAACTACTTCCTTGCAAAGAAGCCACTTGATATAACAATACCAGCGTATTCCTTTAGATACGGGCACAGTTTATAGAACAGAGCCGTGCTTCCCGTTTGTTTTCAAACATACATTTAGCACCGTCGTTTTATCTAGCGCCGTCTTTTTGTTCTGCCTTTGCAAATAGTGGAATATCATTCCGTTATGTTTCTCATCGAGAAAATGCGGAGTCACGCATAGTGTAATTCCAAAGCATCTGTAATCCGATGGTTTAGTATGGGCTTCTCTTGGTGCACATCTCCTATCGCACTTCCATCAATTTAAAGGGAGTAGTACACACCACAGAATCCAGGCGATCAATTCCTCCTGGACTCTTGTTATATGTTTTCCAAAATACAAGGAAGCTTTATTCTTGATGATTTGCCAAATCCAATAAAAGGAGTAAGAACTCAATCGAAATCAGCCAGATTTTTCATCAATTACCTAAGACAAAAGTCTGCTCTTCCGATGATAGAATGAAATAAGACACAGTTGCAAACAATGAAAAACTGTTTCTGCAGCTTGGAAAAATCCAAACAGGTCAATATAGGATTTTGATTTTCTCCACGACTGACTCTTTGATTGTAACTGTCTCCTCCACTGCTTTACCAGGGAATAATGAGACAGAAAAACACTTAGAGGATATTTAATTTGAAAACTTGAAAACGCTTTGAGTAAAAAGAATCGAAGAAATTAAGCAACTCCTAAGGTGCCTTTTTTCGATTTTCCAGTCCAATAACCTAGTGCTCCATACACACGCTCCAGTGCCTTTGAATTTATAATTAAGTAATAAGAAGTGTATCCTATTCACGAATGTAATCCCGTTTGATCAACCTCCCGAACAAAAAGCACAATCACAGCTGTTGAAGAAGAGTATCCATACAAGATCAATTTATAGCAGCGCCGATTGATTCCCAATAGCAAGACTGGCATTCGAGGATTCACACATGAACTCTCAATGCTTTAAACATTATTAAGAGGCAAAATCACAAGTACCTCACTTAATGAAGACATTCCACTCAAGATAACCTTAGTCCACAGGTAATCCAGAAAAGGTATTTACACCCTGTAGGGGAGAATGATAATTCCTCACATGAGTTGTCCCATCTGTAACCAGGGGTGAAACCATTTATCCCGCATCCTACGTCCACTCCTTAGGGGTATCTCTACTCAAGGAGCAGAGGAAAGAGACGCCGTCTCCATTGACCGGAATCGGAAAAAAATATCCGTTGATTCCCGTCACTTTTTTCCGCTTTGATGTGTATCTTGGGCCACTCGCAGCAAATTCGTCCGCCACTTTTTTCCCGGTTTACATCTGCGCACTGTGATTCATTTGCCGCTTCGAGCTATATGATATATTACTTAATGTTTACCGCCCCCCTCCTCAGCTGCAATGCCACCAAACATTAACTCCCCGCCCAGTAATCACATGCTGGCATCAAGACTGCGGCAGTGTGACTTGCACCAACTGGCAGCGTGTGGCTACTACTACAGCAGCAGCACCGCTAATCGAGTCCCCTGCCTCCTTCCTTCCCGTGTTCAGCGCCTGCCGAACTGCTAGCATGCATACCACCTCCGCTGTGTCCGAACTGTATCCTATCGCGACAAGCTCATCCTCTAACAACCCATCCCGAACTCATACCGTAATTTCTGCCACGTGGATTTATCACAATATCAGACAGCAAGTGCCAGTGTCGAAGCGCAACGCGAGGAAGATGTAATACACGGTTTATGGGTATATATACATTCAAGGGATCTGTGATGTTCTCCTCAATTATGTTCTGGTGGTAATGTCCGTTACTATTTTAACTGTCAAATGTACATTGCGGTTTATCCTCACATATTGACAGACACACATTACAACTGAAACTATTCTTTAGCTCTTATTGTTGGCTTAACAATGTTTATGTTTTGTCTGACTGCGCAACGCTCATGCGAGTCTATGTTTTAAACATCTATCTTTCTATCTTGCTGCAAGTCGATCGACAGCCGTTTGCGTACAGAGGAATTCTACCTTGATATATGTTTTGAGAACTAAGTACTACAGGCGTATATAGCCGTAACGTTTGGAGTTGTAATAACTAGGTGGATGAAAGATCTCTTGATATGAATAAGCTCATCCATAAACATTAAATGCCTGTATTAACACCAGATGAGATTTGTAATGATGTATGCATAAAAAAACAAAGGCCTTCCCGCTCGCTATAACGTTGGGATCAGATGCAGTTTAATGTTCAGTTTAAATCAATACTGCTTACCATCCATCACTTGGTCTGAAAGCTATGAGTGATCACAGATAATATGTTCCTGTATTCAGCAGGACAAGTAGACAAGTAGCAGGATTGTACAGTTTAGATTTATCTTAGTAGGTGCTGTCAAAGGACATTTATCCTAAGATACCCTGGCGACAATCATCATTCGAAGTCAATAAAAGCACACATGGCAATCATTAACAGGAATAAAAGTAAACTAGTCCTTCATATTATTATAGGAGCGGTCGACTACTGGATCGTCTTTAGAGTAAGTGCTTATTTTGTGTGTATTCCTGTTACGTTATCTTGGTATAAAAAATATAGAATACTCAAAAAGATTATGTAAAAAATCACATAATATGATAATATTCCAAGATTATAAGGATAATTTGTGAGATGGTTTATCCCTAGATTGCACGTAACACATTACCAATCCATGACGTGTTTAGTCTGGGGCTTGACAACTTGCACACGCATTCTTCAGATGAGACATATACCCTCAGAACGTTTCAACGGACTTCACTAGTGTGTTATCTTCACTAGTGTGTTATCTACTGCAATAAACCCAAAATGCAACCGTTGTTTCTGACACAAATTCCACGCACGACTAAACTGATGCTATCAGAGAATACTAATTGTGAATACTAAAACGCGTTGAACACAGACTTTCAGTATAGGCTGAACGAGAGAAAATCGCCTTCACCATATGCTATGCTATGCTATGCTATGCTATAAAAGACATAAATCTCTATACGCATAATTATCGACGCAAATACTGACGATCGTGTTCATCAGGATATGGCAACAGTTCATCTTTGTGAAAATTATACTGTCTAGAGTGAATAATTGGTACTATTGTTACAAAGTTCAGGATTGTACATTTAAATGTCAAAATATGGAATTATAGGTATGGTTGGATTTCAACAGGTAAGATCTAATCGACATCCTCACGTGAAGCAGATGATAATGTTTCTGATTCTGGCATTCTGTAAGTGAATGTTGGTGTTCGTAACAGCAACATGACAGCTATGTCAAATAGATATATACTCATTCTTTTTTCAACAAACATTCCAGTCTTGGTCACCATAAACAACGACCCGTATCAGAAACGAAGCCATGGCCGATACACTGTGTCCCCCTTTAGTGGATGTTGGCAAGCATACAATTCATGCACTCAGCATTTATATGCACTTACATGGATTTTAATCCAGGATAATTCTGAAATTCTGCCTGTGTAAATAAACAGGCGTTTATGCCCAAATTTTCATGTTTATGTTTGAGGGGGTGGGGAGTAAATAGCAACTGATAAGGTCACAGATCTTTGGACACATACACATTACCAACATACAACCGTTCAAGTTGGTTAATTTTTCAATTTACGTTAGATAGTTTTGTTTGTGTAAAATATATGAAAGAATTATTATCATGGAATATTCTGGGCTTTACATAAATTAATAGCTGATTGTATAGCTTTCGGTTCAGGCACAATGTGTACACAGTTGTGTCATGTGGTTGTGTTTCATGATTAATAATAATGATTCACCTAAGCATGAACTATTTGTAGCATAACAATGATCATTTTTGTGAAGGAGTATCCAACGCATGCAGCTTTCACTGAAAACAACTGTAATCATAACCGTTCTTTTGAATACTCAGCATGCAGGACAACACATTAAGCATGCCACAAATCCATTAGACGAAGCAACGTACATCACTTACTACCATGCGACAATACAGACATATATAAATGACCTCAAATGTTATATTTTCATTAATGCACACCGGTATCGATTTGTGTTTATTTATAGAAGTGAACACTTCTCTTTTGAAGTTGTATGCACCGAAAATCCTCAACTGACTGTCGTCAGACATAATATAGTGTCATAAACAAGGACACATATCTTTTCCGATCTGAGATCCATTGTTCCTATTCCTGGTCCTAATTAGCCCATCCATTCCTCTCATGTTGTGCGGAAAGCATTTATCTTATCACCTGATCAGATACATAAACAGGAGACCAATTACACGAGTGCCACACAAATAACACGCCAACCTATACAGAAAATAGTGTGGTCAACCAAGCAAGTAATAACCTTTGTCTGAACGTAAGTCTCCTTATTGATTCCTCTTGTTCTCGCTCAGACAGAACCGAGCCATCTCTAGCACCGACACACACATGATATGGGCATGATATGAACGTGCTAATGATTCAAGCATCACTGGCCGGGATGGTGTTCGTGCGTTGTATCATATATAGGGTATAGTTTTACTGTACTCGCCGTGGGGATCCTGGTTAGACCTACAAATGTAAGTGTCGACTTAATTGATTGGACTAGGTTACTTGCGTGTCATCGTACACCGACGGCGTAGATCATTGTTCATATTAATCATTACTTGTTTGTCACCACGCGCTATTTCGCATGATGACAGTTAAATCCGACTGTAATTTAAATTGCTTATGAGGATACCAGGTTCACGAGCGCAGTTGGGTTTTTTTAAATCATTTGGAAATGGAATAAAAACGTTTCATAGCGTTGGTGGCAACTCGACATGTGAATAGCTGAATTATTATTATTTTTATTTGTAACATGTTTTAGCTTGATAGGCATTGTAGTTTCAGAGACGGGGGTAAAGGACGGTCGGACAGACGACGAACTACACAATATAAGAATACTAAATAAGAATATTCAAAAATATATAAAAATATAGCACGCATTTGTACTAAAACCTAATTTTCAGTCTTTACCGTACAATCACATAAATACTGAAGAAACGACAATTACAAAGAACGATGGCTCCAGCTGAAGATTAACCTAACAGAATGGTTACAAGCATTGGTCACTGAAGCGTAAAGTGCTCGATTTAGGGGGAGTTTCAGTTTCAAAATCGAAGACAAAGCTTGGAAGCAGATGTTGAAATCAATAACTGCTGAAGAAAATGTGCTCCTACGAGATTTTTTCAAATTGGATTCAAAAGAATTACAGCTGTAATACAATTCCACAAGAAATTAAACATAATATGCTCTCGTTCACTAAATAGCACTTACTAAGAATTACAAGTCATGCTATTATATTTTCAAGGAGGGGGGGTAAAGGATTATTTCATCAACAGCTGGCGACAGTCTAAGTCGTTGGTACCGATGTGCGCACGTTGCAAGTGCATTCAGTCGTCACGTAATAGTCATGGTGCTGGTGACAAATAATAATAGTCATGGTTAGCAGACTATTGACATGTCGAGGACTCATTTATTATTTACAGAGTGTTCTATGTGTGTACTTAAAGGGGCGTGCCAAAATACGTACCTTTTACAGGATGAAAACACAACATCTTTGACGCTACATGTTGAGCAGGATTAAAAATAAATCTATGTTTGAATACACCTAAATATAAAGGTGTTCATTGCATTGTACCGTGCAAGTTGAACCTACATGAAAATATATCTACAGATGTGCAAATATAATGTTTGTACATGCAATTTTGATGTGTTCCACAATGTTTGAATGTTTACTTGCCTTAAATGGTATGGATTATTTTACCTCAATTTAAACAGTGTACAGGTTGATCTAGTGTTGTGTCCCCAATACTTCGTGGTTGTCAGGTCACATGTTACAATGAGGACAGGTCCCTTTGTGTAACGTACTTGGTTAAACTTCAGTTCGTAGATGTATTTGCAAAGGACACAATGACATGACTGTTTTGCGATCAGCTAAGTCTATTTCTTTTGTGACAGATTTATCACTCATTGGGATGTGAGGCAGAAACAGACACAGGAAAGCGTCAGCAGTTTCGAAATCACCATCAATACAAATTGAGATTTTATGTTATAAAACGTCCTTCTTGGCATTAGTTATCGAACATTCTGACTAAGAAATACGGGTTTATTGACCGATGGTGCTTGACGGGTTTTTTAGCAAACAGTAGCTACATGTTTTGCACGACTTTAGACGACATTAGATTCTTCCATACGTCTTCTTAATGTCGCTTATTTCAGAATGATCCCTCAGCAACTCTACTTTGGTGTGTAATGACATATCGTCCCCTTCTGTTAACCGCAACAGTGATATCTTTTTAGATGAATATTCCAATGACGATCACCGGCCATGATGAGATTGTTTTGCTAAAACTGTAAAATAAAAAGCTCAGTGGCAACATAATCATCATTGAGCATATAAGAGCCGGTCCAAAAGTTAAGCATCACCCGCTTTTCTAACATTCATATGAAGCGTTATACATGTTTACGTGAAAATGTGACACCAAGTTTAAATATTGTCCTCAGAGGTATCTCAGACATGGAATTTAAAGTTACAAAACTGAACGGAAATAAACATTAT